TGATGTTGCTGGGATTTCATACTTCTCTTTTGTGGCTCAACTGGGCACTACTTTCTTGGCTTGGATTCTTAGGAATCTAAGCACTCTATTTGTTGACAAGGTATTCTTTAGATGGGTTCTATGAACCAAAAACTTTGAGTCAGATGCAAAAATGCCTCAAATTCTGTACACAGTTGGAACGCCCTGTCCTGCTAAGCCAATAAGCAGATGACACAGCTTCCTACTGAGTAAATTTCTCTGCTAAGCAGAAACGAGCAGAAAACCAGCACACTAGCTGGTAAACCAACTTTGCTAAGCAGAGCAGAGCACCTCTAAAAAAAAAAGTTCCTCAGTATGCAGGTGAGCCAAATTGTGTTTTTGAGAGTCCCTGCATGCAGTGAGCCAACGGCAACAACATGTCTTCATTGAACTTCATTGACTGCAGGGCTAGGAACTGCTTACCGCAGATGAAGCAGGTGTTCTTTAAGATCTCCTCCTTCTGTTGCTTCTCACTCCTCAAGTCGGCAAAGGTGTCGATGATGACACCAAAGATGAGGTTGAGGACGATGATGATGACCACAATGAAGAACAGCAGGTCGTAGACAACTCTGGCCATGTATAACGGCTCCTTGAAAAGAAAAAACACAGAGATCTGTTGGTGTACTTAAGTGATTAAGGCCCATTGATTTTGGATTCGATCAGAACAGTAAGTTCAAAACTTCATTCACCAGAAATATGCGAAATGAATTCTTTTGGAACATTTTCCTCACTTCCGGATACCGTTTTAAAATATTTTTCAAACTAATGTGCTTCAACAGCCTAACCTGTTGCTAGACTGACAAACTGACAGTGACCCAGCTATAAAGTCTGGAGATGCCATTCCAAGTATAAAAAAAATCACTACAAAAAATCTCAATGGCCATCCTGGACAGGTTCCCTGAAGTATGCTCAAGATCAAAATGGAAAGCAGTGGCCATCTTGGTCAGGTTCCCTGAAATATGCTCAAAAGAATAGGCAGCCAGAAATGAGTTCATCTTCCAGCCCGTCCCACAGAATGCCGACACCATTTCTCTACCTTTGTCGACGGACTTCTCAAGACATCGCCGATACCCCCACCGCTCCGCACGCCAAAGTTCAGCGTGGTGATGATGCACATGATCAGTGTCTCGCAGGCGCGTTCCTTCTCTGATCCCGTGTTGTCATCCAGGCTAACTTCACCTTTTGAGGGCAATAAAAATAATTTTTTTAAAAAAAATATGGGTCTGTAGTCTGCATTTTCCTTTTTATTGCTGCACAGAAGTCTCCTGTCACAGATTTTTAAAAAGGAGAACAGATGACAATAGATGGAACTTTGCCTCATTGAAATGTAAAGATTTATAGCAATTCCCCCCCCCCACTATGTCAGTCAGTACTCTCTGACTTACCTGTTGCTTGCAAGTCGCTGAAATTTGGTTTCAGACATTCTTCCATTTCTGTCTCTGCTGAACAGGATTCGGGGGGAATTATCTGGGGTAAGGGACCTAGGGGTGGAGGCAATCAAACGATTTGTTTTCTCAGTGGCTTTGAATCATGCTTTTTGTAATTTTACAAATGCCATGATGGTTAACAGCTAGTGCAGAACCTCATAAGTGTCACATTTGGGTGACGATCTTACTAGAGTTTATACCCATGAGAACCACTGGACACGTTTGGTCTGAACAGATAATCTTCAGAATTTGGGTTCATACCATTAGGAATCTATTAATGACAAATGACAAATTACTTGAAGTAATCCTAGCAGTGATCCTTGCTTTTTGTACATCTGTCAGGGGTAGCATCAGAAAATCTTTTCCTTCTTACTGTTAGATTGGACTCAGAAGACTGAAAAATTGCCCGGCCCATACTAATGTTGTTCGTGCTGTTAGACCAAATTTTGTAGTTGAGACTTCATAAGCCCATCACAAGACCCCACAAAACTAACACAAGACTTCCAGCCTGAATTCAAGAAACAAGCAAATTCAAATGAACTGCATTTAAATGCATTCCTTTGTCATGGTTCCTCGTTACTTGTGACTGGTTTTGTGATTGGTCATGACTGTCTTTTTGGCTGGTCTTGTGACTAGTCCTGTGACTGGTCTTGACCCTGGTTTTAGACTGGTCTTGTGACTAGTCTTGAGACTGCTCTTAGACTGGTCTTGTGACTGGTCTTGTGACTGGTGTGGTGACTGCTCTTGTGACTGGTCTTGTGACTGGTCTTGTGACTAGTCTTGAGACTGTCTTGTGACTAGTCTTGAAACTGGTCTTGTGACTAGTCTTGTGACTGGTCTAGTTAGGGGTCTTGTGACTGATCATGTGACTAGTCTTGAGACTGGTCTTGTGACAAGTCTTGAGACTGGTCTTGTGACTAGTCTTGTGACTGGTCTTGAGACTGGTCTTGTGACGGGCATTGCGATGGTCTTAACTACAACCCTACCCGGAACTGCTCCCACACCACCTGCCTTTAGCAGCTCACCCGTCTTATTAGCGGCTGCGGCTATGGCCGGCCGGAGAGGGTTGACCTCGTACACAAAGTCGTCCTGGAGGAAGAGATAACCGATGATGGAGAAGAGGTAGACCAGGATCAGGGCCAGCAGGGCGGTGAAGGCGATGGACCGCCAGTTGCGAGTCACTGAGTGGATGACATTGATCAGTGTGTCCTCTTGGTACACCACATCCAGTAGCTGGTGAGGGGGAGAAAGTTAAAGGAAGGGTTCAGATTGTGGGATGACCGCAATCCTATCAAACATTCACCAGAGGGGTTGAACAGTAAACACTAAAATATTGTGTCTTGTCAGGACATCTTTTCATAGTCAACAAGGGACTGACTCTCTCAAGAATGGTTATGATTATGTGAATCTGGAAATTAAATTTTGGACAACGTGCTATAAAATAGCAGATTTACTAAACGTCTAGAATTCCACAACTTAGGGGTATAAACAATCTTGATATCCAGAAAAACCTGTCCAACCTCAATGCATAAAATGTTCATCTAGACTTTTGTGCTCCCCTTATGAAAACGCTAGATCTTGCTGCTGGCATTTGTGTCTGAAGTTTACCAAAACAGGCACGAGCAATGTGCCACTTCGGTATTGGCATCTCCTTGGACTACTCCATACAAAAACTAATCTCGATCCCCCAGAGACTTAGGGGTAACTTAAAAAAGAAAATCCATCCGACTCACTGGGAGTGAGCGATCGGATCAAAAAGCAGAACTCGGTTTAGGGGTCTTACCAAGAGGCTGTAGAAGAACTCATGGACAAAGAGACCCAGGAAGCAGATGATGAGGTATAGGATGTGGTACAGGACCTCCATGTCGGTAAAGATCCCCTTCACGCCTTTGTAGAGCAGGCCGCAGTTGCCTAGGAAGCTGAGGATGAAGATGCACTTGGTGAAGATCTGGTGGACAGGGACGAAATGACATAAGAATGAGAGAGACTGGACGAGGCTGGTTTCTATTTACGTGAAAAATTCACCCGAGCCTGAAAGCATAGAAAGGATTAAAATGCAACTTGCCGTTATGAAACGGCCCTGAAAGCCATTTAAATCTGAATCTGATTGTCTTGTATCAGTCAATCACAAAGAGCAGGGTTAGTATTCCAACAGCGTGTGCCCAAAATGAAGTGCGTTGAGGTCCTTCGGACACACATACGAGGTCTTCCATATCAGCACAGCCCTGTGAGGACTTGTAGGCATGTGCTTTGATCTCGAATGACCTTGTTTTTTTTGAAAAACCAAACTGGTTCATTAAAGGGAACACTCAGTTCAGACAATGCACCCATAACTCTGACTAAAGAGACAACGCCAAGAAAATTGCACAACTCACAGTTGTCACAGCTAGAAAGAGCAGCGTGGGCTCCACGCCGATGGAGAATATCATCCTGAGGATGGTGGAGAAGACCAACGGTCGTATCATGGAGGGCCGTCTTAGTGTCAGGATGGCAGCCAGCGAGGCAGCCATAAGCAGCCAGACCAGCATGGACAGGCCTTGGTCCAGCTCTGGTGAAGGCAAAAACACAGATGTCAAAGGTCATGATTCTGACAGAGAGTGAAAACCACAAATCAACATTTGCCAGTCAGAAACTTTGTTACTGAGTCTTATGCTGAGTAGCTTAGTTTACTCACAAGGTGGCATCAAACTAACCGAGCCTCGACTAATCGAGAGATCATTTTGATCAAGCAGAGTATTTTGATCGTGTCCAAGTCCTTCAAACTCTCTGACAATTCACAGCTTTTAACCTCTTTTCCCATTGCTCAAATTCCAACCCCTACGCAATGGAAAGTTGCCTAGTACACAACTCCACACTGTCTTTCATGTCTTATCATACTTAATTACATAGAATCAAGTGATATTTCAGTAAATTTGTCAAAAATGAAAAAAATTCGATTCTCCTTCCACTCTCACAAAGCCACACGAACTCTCTGAATAAGTTTACAGGGACATTTCAACAGCTTGGAAGGGAGCAAAGTGGAACTAGAGGTATGGCTGCCCCACTGAAAAGTGAGGCAAAGCACTGGCATTTGCACCTGTAATAGTCCTTCTCTTAGCCCTGAACTACCTCACAGATGAGGTGTAACCAATCAATTAAGCCAGGCCTGCCTGCCTCAGGTGAGTCAGAGGCTGTTGTTCGGCTCCATCCAGTGCGCAGACAACTTGCGTCATGAAGCACTGACCGAAGCATGAACAGCCACACTCTTTTAATTTCCTTCGGAAGAGCAACAACAGTCCAGGACAGAGCAAAGGCTGGTAGTGGAGAGCCTAGGGGCATAGCAAAGGCATTTTCTTGGGGGAGGTTTACCAGAGTAAGTTTGCTGACTTGTACCTTGTTCACCAACTTCATGTCGTGTAAAATGGAAATGGTACGCTAAATTTCATGCTTCAAGGGAAATGCCAACGGCAAACGAATATAATTTCTGCACCAACTTTGGATTCATTTGCCAACTGAAGTCCTAATTTCTGACCGGAATTTATTATTGGGCTCCCCCGATCACCATGCCCTTGGCAGAGCCTATTGTTCAAAGCCAGGGATTAAAAAAGCAGAGGGGCCTCTGTTTTGTCCAAGCAGGGCCTGGCTTTTTGATGGCAAAGCCAGGCCACTGCTTCCAAGTTCCTCCCTAAAACTGTATCCCATAAACCACTTCAGCACTCTGCATTCCACCTGTTGTGCCGACGTCAAATGGGTAGAAGAATGCCACCAGCAAGTTGATGAACAGCGCCAGGTTGAAACACACCAGGCTCCACTTGCTCATGTTGCTGCTTGCCAAGAACAGGATTGGCTGGGCTGTGGATGACGACAGAAAAGACACAACGTTCCTTAAGAACAACGGTTCTTGCAAAGTCAGGAAAAGTGCATCTTTGGGTAAGATCTGTCTTATTAATTCTGGACTGGTAACATTTTCTGTCCTTTTAATCTCCATTCATAGTTCTAAAAAAGAAATAACAAATAAAGTTTCAGCTTTTAAAAGGTGCACCCTGAGGTGCTAATGATGCTCTATGTGAGCGTTAAGACAAAAAATTCACAAGGTAGGAAGTGAAACTCACTATTTTAAATATTTTCCCCTAAAACTGGTTACCATTTCATGAAACCACCCCCTCAATTTAAAAGAAAATCAAGAAATCCAGATTTCCAAATACTCTAAAAAGTTTGGAGCAGTTCTACTCTTGAAACTGGATCCTCAACCCAAACAAATATTTCAGTGCCTGTAAATAATCTTGGCCAAGGTCCACAATCTTGACAATGCTGAAGTCATTAATTCTTTAAAAGAATCAACACTTAGGCTTCAAAGTCAATCTCTTTGTAAGACAGGCTGTGAACAACTTATAGCCTCACTGAAATCGACTGGCTGAGGCTGAGTTTAACACAGGCATCAATGGAGCCACTGCAGCTGCTAGTCAGTCACTTCAACAGTCACACATGCTGTTTCCAATCTAGGCTACAACATTCGGACCCAGCAGGGTTCAGCTTCAAGACACTGACCTCGAAGTTTCTTCTGCCACTTCATCTCCATGAACATGTCCTCTGTCTTCTCAAAGAAGTCAGCCACCTTGCTGCCTTGGTCGTCTCGTTCAGACTTCTGGAAGATCTTGAGCTTGGTCTCGGTGGTCAGGTACTCGCAGAGCTGGGGCACGGGGAAGACAATCTGCTCCATGGTCCGATCCTGGCGCACAATCTTGGAGAGTCAGGAGACAGAGTGGAGACAGGGTCAGGTTGTTGCATAAACAGGACACCACACTTCAGATATCGCACCTGTCAACTTTCACTCAAGAGCCAGGAGATGGACGAGTGAGTAGGTGGAATTTTGAGACAGAGAACATGCATGTGGGGGGGTCTAATCCCTTGGGTTTGTTGCTACAATCTGCACCCTATGAGAGTACTCTGACCTACAGACAGAAGATGGGAGCGAGTGGGCGGAGTTTTGGATAGGGCAGGTAGGAGGCGGAGGAGTCAGACTCCCATGGGTTTTTCAACTCAATCTGTGCTGTATGTTTGGCATAGTATTCCGAA